CCTACAACTTAGCCAGGACTTGGGGAAGGGAAAACCTTGGGATGAAGTTTCTGCTACCCTTGAAGAATGAGATTTCAAAGTTGCAAGTGAATTTTAAAAAGTGTGTTTTTCGAATGCTCCAGTTGGGCACAGAGAGGTATGCCCGTCATAGACCAGGATGAGTTGGATTCTGTAAGTACTCTCTGAAAGCTTCCTGGGGAGGGTTCACTCGGGGGGTTGGGGGGCTGCTGTCTTCCACTCTTTCATGGGGTCCCAGGGCAGCGTAGAGACCATCAGAGACCAGGGCAGGGCAGGGTTGCTGGAGTCCACAGGTCTGGGGTCTTGGGCTGACTTCTGGTGCCGGCCTTTTATTCTCTCCAACAACCAGTGAAGTGCCTGTCCATCCTGAGATGCTTGCATACTGCAGGTGGATTTAGGGTAGAGACGTGGGAAGAAAGGGGAGGCAGAGAAAAAAAAAATTCTTGCCTTTCTCTGTCAATTATGGAAGTGTTACAGCGGAGGTGGAGGGGGAAAACTGGGTAAATTGGTTTTGATTTTGGAGATGTAACTAAGCCAGATCATTTCATGGCTTCTTTTGAGCCCACAATTTCTGATTTTCCATTACTTTCCATTCCCTTCACTGGAGCAGCCAGAGAGTGGTAATGTGGTCCTTTCAGAGCCAGCCAGAGTGCTTCTTTAACACCTGGTAACCACATGGTCCTGGGCAAGTCACGGCATGTCTGTCCACATCATCTGTGAGATGGAGGGGATAACAGAACCTACCTCACAGGGTGGTGTGAGCGGTCCTCCCCAGAACAGAACATGCTGGGCATGGGGCAGCTGATGGGTTAGGGCATTGGGCTGTAGCTGGTTTGCAGCATCACCCAAGGCAGGCTCCCTCACCAATACCCTTGCTCCCTAGGTGACAGCGGGTGGCGCTCAGCATCACCATGATGACTATGTAGCTAGAAGCTTGTCAGATTTTGCACAGGGGCAGCCAGCAACAAGCCCTCTTTCCTAGTTGTATCCAGATGACCTTGAAATCCCATAGCCTCACTTTTTGCGTCCAGTTTGAAAGCAGGCTTCGATTCTCTCCCCTAACATTTCCTTGAAAGTTCATTCTTCATTGCTGTCCTCACCAACGGGGACCCCCCCCCCAAGACTTCCAGAAATGGGTGAACTCCCCATCAGGAAGTCCAGTAAAGCGGGAAGCAAACTTTCAAGGCAAAATGCTGAAGGTCCTTGTTTCCTTTGCTTAGTTCTAGTGATTTGCAGAGTGCTGATGTGGCTGGTCCCAGCAGCCAATCCCACCCCACAGAGGACTCGGGGTGGAGACTCTTTGGTACGCGGCTGGGCAGCAGAGTTGCGTGCTGTGTACTTAATCTGATTAAACTTTCTGTTGTTTATTAAATCTATTTCCACGGTAACTTTTTCTTCTGATAGACATTCAGTGACACAAAAAACACATTAAAAGTTACATCTAGCCAGTCACGGCCGCGTACCCCTGTAATTCCAGATGTTTGGGAGGCCGGGGCAGGAGGATTGTGAGTTCACAGTCAGCCTCAGCAACTTAGCGAGGCTCTAAGCAACTCAGGGAGACCCCGTCTCAAATAAAAAATCAAAAAGGGCTGGGGATGTGGCTCGTGGTTAAGCACACCTGGGTTCAATCCCCACTACCCCCACACCCCAGATACATCTCTATCAGTGACTTCTTGTGTCGTGTTGATGGCACGTGTGTGTGTGAGCATGGAGGCACGTGCACTTGTGTGACCCTTGTATGATCAATATGTATTCGATACTTGTGACAGCTGCAACTTTAAAAAAAGACAAGAGAGGATGAATATTTCACTGACCATAAAAACAAATAAACAGACAACAACAACAAACCAATCCAGTCCAGTCCAGTTACTTAAATAAAACACAAGACACAGAAATTACCTCCAAATGGAGAAGTACAAGGATCCACTGTCTTTGCCAAAGCCTTCCCGCCTGAGCTACAGACCGTGGTGGGTGCTTGGGCAGGGACATCCAAAGCCACTTCCCTCCCATTTCTGCTTTCCAGCAGGGCCCAGGGAGCAGGATGGCTAGTGTCCCCGCCCTTCCCTGCTGCTGTCATTACCACCTTCGTTAATCTTTGAGTTCTTTGCCCCCACTTTACCAAAAGAATAATGCTTCCCCCAGAATTACACAGAAATCAATGGCCAAGTTAATTGAAACCTGGATCTCTTTCGTGTTTTTCCTCTTTCTTCAGTGATTGCCTGGTTCCTGGAAAGTGAGGTCTGACTCAAAGGGCGGCTTTCACGCAGGGTGAGTGAATTGGTCAGGGAGAGAAAGTGGAGGTGGATCATTTTCCAAGGGACTGAAAGACAGTGTTTACATTTAGGATTTCGTTTCCTTTCAAGTTTGACACTGGGGTGGAAGGGATGTCAGTAGATGGGAAGAATGACTAAGGGCATTTCTAGGGCACAGCTCGCTGCTCTATTGTCCCCTCCAAGGCCCGGCAGGACTCTGAAGGGGATGGGACTGGCCCCTTCCTCCCAGGGGGCCAGAGAGCACAAGGAGGGAAGAGAGAAAGGGTGGAGGGGACTCGGAGGGCCCTAGTAATGGCCGGCGACCTATTCTAAGGACGTAACCTCTTTGGAGAATGAGGTATTCCGGTTGTAGATAGTTGGGCCTTTCATTTGGCTTCATTTTAACAATTCAGTTTACATTTATGGCCGTTTATTAAAAGCAAAGGGAAACTCTGTTTCACTGGAATCTTGCAAAATGCGCTGAGGCCAATGAGAAAGGCACGTGTCTGTTGACTATGTAGAGAAGACACTGAGGGGATGGTCTAAGACCACCAAACCAGCAGAGAGGCGGGAGAGCCATCTCCAGGCTTTTAGGGAAGAGAAAGGGGGTTGATGGGGCCAGAGTCTTACCTCCATGTGGCCTCTGAAGAGGTCGTGGGCAGGGTTCCTCTTCAGCGGATGGGGACACGCAGAGATCCCCTAGCTCAGTCACCTTGCTGAATGCCCATCCGTCATTGGGAGGGACCATACCCGGCTGGTTCCAACCCTCATTGGCATCTGCGGCTTCCAACATGTTCAGACAAAGGATCCAAAAGGGCATCTGGTCAAGCTTTGCAAGAAGAGAACCTTATCCCCCAGTTCCCGAGGCCCCGAAGTCAGGGATTTGATTATGCTTATCATGGTCTCAGCTTCCACCCCTCCAAATGCAATTAGTTTTGTAATTAGTTAATGTCATTACCTGTCATCAAATCCAGACAACGCTGGTCTCCTGAACCTCCCCGTGGCAGAAAACCCCACAAACTGACATCTTTCCACGGTCGGACACAGTTTCTTGAACAATCCTGGCAACTGCCCCCTCATCCATGGACCACAGGCCTAAAAAGTTAGAAGAAAGATGTATTTCTTGTACTTTTTTTTTTTAAAGGCGGTTTAAAATACTTTAGTTCCCACACTGTTCTTCATCCAATGAAAGCATAAATAGAATCTTTTCAGCAAACTTTGTACTGCACTCTATTTTCCTTCTTATATATCTTGGCTCTATTGCTCTGGGCAGAATAGCCCAATTAAGAACCAGTTTACGGTAGGGAAACACCCAGTGAAGGAATATTTTTAATTTATAAAAAAAAA